GTTGATCGGACTTTAATTGACTCAATAAACATGCATCATTCGATTATAATCAAACAATATAGCATCCAAAACTTCATATAAGAAAGATCCTAACTCATGGAACTAGGGTTCCTCAAAACCTAAGTGAAGGGAAGTTACTCCATAGAGGAGAGAGAGACTGCAGAAATCTGATCTAGATCTTCAATCTTCATCTCCAAGCTTGATTCCCGAGCTCCAATGGCGAAGAAATCCTCCAAAATAGCTCCAAGAATGTTCCCAAGTCGCTCTCTCTCTCTAGGGTTCGTCCCTTGGATGTTTGGGATCCAAAACCCAGCTCCCCCTTTCCTTTGGCTCGAATCTGCCTCAAAAACCCGATTCTGGGCGAATTACGGGCTGAATTATGGTCGTAATTCTTCCATGCCCGTATTTTGCCCAAAACACGCGTTTTGGTTAAGTTTCAGCGCATCCAAAGCTCCTCTCGGCAGTGAAAATACGGGCATGGGAGGGGAAATTACGGTCGTAATTCTCCTGCCCGTAATTCTTCCTCCGCCCCTGTTCAAAGCTTCGTTTCTCCCTCGTCCGGACTCCGAATCAGTCGCCGTTTGAACCCAGACGCTCGTAGTCTCGTCCTCTTTCTTTTCATAACAAACTTCCATGATTCTTTGTCCATAAAGGGAGGTAGAAATCCATTCTTCTTCAGGTCATGCTCGTGTTTCTTCTCCCTAATCGCCAATTGATCTCTGATTGACTTGAAACTTGCGCCTATGCTTCACTTTATTTGCTAGGACCTGAAATGTGACAAAGGAACACAACCTAGCGTAAAATAGGCTAAAGACGCGATAATTAAAGCTCAAACGATCAAGAAACAAAGGGGAAAACATGTGCAAATATCGAGTCATCAATTGCTCAACTTGACGATCGGACTTCTCCAACCGTTTTTCTCCGGCTAACAAAATAAACCACCACACAGGTTAGATAAATTCATGACAAAATTACATGAAAATAAATAACAAAATTAAATGAAGAAAGCTTACCGACTCGAAATAGTTGCTTATACATAATTCTGCTTTTAGTCTTCCTTTGCAAATTGCTTGCATAGTGTCGCATGGACCACCTCCACTCCCAACCTCTTCCGATGTTATTCATGGCTTCATAGAGTCCTGCATGTCTATCTTCTCCAATGCTCTTTGTTTCCCATATCAAGCCTTCTTGTAAGTAACTTGCATATTAAACTTATCTTTCAACTCGGCCTGAAAAGTTAGAACACTCAGATTTGGTTGGGCACGTACCAAATATTTGACGGCCTCAGATATCATGTCGACATCAAGATGGAGATGATCCTTCGGTTGAGTCGTACTGCTACAAGAATGCACCAACTCAGCCTTTCTCACAGTCCATTCGCCTCCAACATCTCGACATCCAAACCGCACCATCCAAGAACAATTGTCATCCTTGTGCTTCAAGCATCTGACCTTCCAGATTGAAGGTGACGACTCCACCACGCCATATTGAAAGTTGCGTTGTAGTGCGTGGTGTTTAATCGCCATCTGTGCAGCTTGTTTCAAGTGAAATATCTGGCCCTTGTAGAATTCTCCTTCAAAACTATCAACAATAGGCATTGGAATTACGCCATATGAATCATCAAGTGATAATTCTTCGTCCTCTTTATTACCCTGCAAGTAAAAAATGGAGGATAATTAGGCTGCTCTCCTCCCCCCTCTTCTTCCTCCTCCTCCTCTTCTTCCTCATCTTCTTCCTCTCCGTCATCACCGTCATCATAGTCATGATGGGATGGCACGCTCCATGTATCATCTTCTTACTCTCAACCCTGATCCTCCCTCTCAACATGTATCTCAGCACCCAAACAATAAGGATTTTGTGCCATAAAATTCCAAAGCACATTCAAGCTATCATCATCCACAATAGGTATCGCGTAATAAAATAGAACACCATTCTGCCATTCTGGAAGACGATAAGTGAAACCTATGATCACATCCCTATCTTGTACTGCTTCATCTTTGCGTCGTATTCTCGGAATTAGATTCTCACAAAGTTTGTGATATGTGACGCTGGATGGAACCGTCAACTGAAAACTACTACCACCAACGAATTTGACGTCCAAATTATCCTCTACTTTCTTCGATTTCCACAGAACGATTAGTTCAAATCTTCTAAAATCACTACAAAAAACAAACTCACTAATCAAAACTAAACACAATCATAATAGCATTTGAATAATATAATTACAAAAATAAATGTGTCTCTTACCAATTAGCCATTTTTGCAGCAGCAACCAGAGCTCTCTCCTCTATTTTGGACGATTTTGTTTGTGGTGTGAACCTGAAACGAAATTGGCTGTGTTTTTATAAGGTGGGTGACCAGCAATAAGCAAGCGATGCCACCTTAGTCATGGGCGCCACCGCCTGGGATGATTTCCCACCTACTCACCTAGGTCTCAGGCGGTGCCGCCTGAGTCTTGGGTGTCGCCGCTGTCAAATTAATAAAACGGTCAAAAAAATCAGCTAAAGCGGCAGCGCCTGAGTCTCAGGTGGTCTCGCCGATTCTTTTCTCCAAAACACAATATCAGTGTCAATACTTTTTAATCAGCCATATTGGTGGTAAATTAAAAAAAAAACAATATTTGTGTCATTCTTCCCATTTCCTTTCTAAACAAAAAGAAGAAACAGAAAGGGGGACGAAAAACAGAGGGAAACAAATCAAGCAATCAATTCCTTCCCACTTCTTTCTTTTCTGAACCACTTCCCACTTCTTTCTTTTCTGAACCACAAAAGAGCAGAGAATCCAGCAAAACCTCTCATTTCCCTTTACTCAAACATACAGCAAAAAAAAAAAAAGACAGAAAAGGAAACAAAACTCTCAGCAAAATACCATACTTCTTCCTTTCTTGTTGATCACGAGAGAAACACAACACAAACAGAAGAAATCAAGGAAAGAAAAGATAGCAAAGAGAGAAAGAGAGCATAAACTTAGAAGATTCATAATCTTCCTCCTTTCTTCTTCTAAACATACAAAAGCATCCCGTCAACAAAGACAAAATCACAACGATAAAGACAGACTCCTTTCTTCTTCTAAACATACAAAAGCACCCCGTCAATATAGACAAAATCACAACGATAAAGACAGAGAAACGACGAGGGAAGCATACAAGCAGCAGCAGACTCCCGCATAAGTTGGTAAAACAATAACCAAAGTCATCTCCAAGCTATAAACAAACCAAGGTTGGTAATCAAGCAAAATTAACCATCTTTAGATTCAATCATCATCGTTACATTATCATCTCACTTCTGCTTTTCTTAACAAAGAGTTTGAAGAGGAAATAATACATGTTTACTTCCAACCAAATTACAAGTGATTTCATTCGAGTTACCTTTATTTTTGCTAAGATTAATAACTTACATATATGTATATTGTTTCTACAATTACTAATCTACTATTAGCTATATGACTATATACTTCATCTATTATATCGACTAAGCTTCTATCATGTTGTCTATTTTTATCTAGCATTTCCGCAATTCACAATAACCACAAATAAAACTAATTATCCAGACTAATCTCAACTCAAGTTCGAACAAAACAATCAACACCAACTTCCCAAATTGAAACCATAACCCACAGTTTGAAAATTTTAGATCAAACCCCATCATTCCCCCACAGTTTGCATTTCAAGAACACCCCAGCCAAAATTCCGGATTTCGGAAAATCGACATAATTCATCCTCAGAAATCAAACAAGTACCACTAATAATCCCAATCCCCAATCAAACACAAATATCATAATACCGAACTTAAGCACAAGTCGAGAACCCTTTCCCCTCCATTCAAACCCACTAAACCATCATCATAAACAACATTTGAACACCCTCGATTCCACTAGCGAATCATGCAAATGACAATCAAATCCTAAAGCAAACAAATTTACCTTCTGGTTCCATCCTCCCTTGCCGCCGTTATGGTTCAGAGTCACCGACGGCCTCCATTTTTCCCTTTCTTCGTCCGTAACCAGCAAAACAAAAAAACAATTAAAAACGAAAACTCTATAATACCCAGATCAGAATCCTAAATAAACAAATAACAAACGAACAAAATCGAGAAATGAAAAGAGAAGCTTATAAAATCAAGCTTCCGGTCGCCAATTTTGTGGTGTTTGGTATCGTTGGTGAGTTCCTAAACCGTCGCCATTCGTTTCCCCTATTCTCTCTGAAGTCGATAATCTAGAAAAACAGAACCGATTAGAACCCTAAAAGTCCCCCCAACTCAAAATCAAACCAAGAACCGACATGCAAACCCAAATTAACCGAGGTCTTACCTTCATCTGCGCAGTCAACACTATCATCGACGTCGAAGGCCGTCGATCTCACCGCCGTTGTCATCGTTCTTTGTGACCGTGTGGCCTCCTTTGTGACTTGCCTCGCGCCCGATCTTCGTCCAATCGACCCCAAACTCGCTCCCGAGCCTCCATTCACGTACTAGGACCTGAAATATCACAAACAAGCACAACCTAGCGTGAAATCGGCCTAAAACACGAGAAATCACATCTCAAACGGTGTAAGAACAGGGGTAAAAACATGTGTAATTAACGGTCTATCAAACTCCCCCACACTTAACCGTTTGCTTGTCCCCAAGCAAACCAAGTCAGACACAAGGTAAGCTTACATATTTCAATCAATCAACATTGGGGACAAGTCATAAAGGCACAGAACACGTGAATCGTATTGGTTTTCAAACATCAATACATGACCAACTTCAATAGCAACCTGGACAACCACCACTAAGGACATTCGAGTGCAGCAAAATCGAGTAAAGGAAGAGTCTCCCTTCTGTTCACCAACCAACCTAGACTTGACTCAACCACTTACTCAAAACAGTCAACTCATGCATCCAACTCAAGACATTAGAATAGAGACCGAGCAATCTAGGTCCTCACTGGGGTACACGAGTATATAGAATATGAAAAATGAATCACTCACTCTCGACCAGTGGGGTCAGGACAATTTGATGCGAAAAATGCGCATGTTATTTCTCTCAATCCCTAACATCTCTTCACCATGACGGCAGCCTCTAAATGCTAGAGTTCACATATGGGGTGTCACCACTAACTAATCAGGAGGTCTTAGACACAGGTTCAAATGACTGGCTAGGGTCTTGGACATGGGGAAAAGGCCTTTTAGGTGGTGGAAGTATTCATAGCACAAGGTTCCACATTTCCAAACCCAAACAATGACAGTCAAACAAACCGGTATTTCCTTTCTGCTATTCTGCATTACTCAATATCTCAAGAGCACAAGAGCGAAGGAGGTATTAATGTCAGCATTTCCAAGCTAGACTGCTAAGAAACACTACGTACTGGGCATTATTCAGATTTTTGGTAGTGGCTCTCTTTTCCTTCCAATTTTTCTTTGCTTTTCTTTCATTTTCTTTTCATTTCTTAAGAGAGCCGCCACTTCTGCATATATTTCAAACACCTGCCCAGCCCAACTTTTAAGCACTACCTCCAACACTGACATTAAATTTAGCAGAAACAGCAGAGAATATGTAAAAACCACTCTGTGGAACCTTCTACAAGATGCAACAAGGGTGATTTTTTCATTTCAGACCAAAAGAAAGGATAACACACGACTCAAAAGGGCTGACTAGGGGATATGACACATCAGGACAGTCAAATTTGGTCGTGGGCTAATCCTATGCCCCCATCATCTTAGCTAGTGACAACGTGAATGCTACACATCATGGAAGAGGGATCTATCGCACAAGAAATAAACGAGCAGGCTCAAATCTCACATGGCTACCTATATGCTCTATCTCACATTCTGATACCCTGAACTAGATGCATAAGAGATTGTCAAGAACAAGTAATCAATCCAAGTCACAGTTGGTAAGCAAACAGTTGGAAAACTGAACCCCTACACAACTCTACTGCACGTCTTAGTCCTCATCATAGGTTGTCCTAGTCACATCAAGCTGTCATGCATCAATCCGAAAACCATTCAATTCATCAATCACAACACAGTGCCAATATGATCAAACAGTTGTACTTGGAGCCCTCAAATCTCGAGATTTGGACAGTGGACTAGGCTCCAAGCGCACATATATACATTCCAACCGATACAAAGCACCCCCCCACACTTAAGCATGACATTGCCCTCAATGGAGCAGAGGGATAGAGAAGGGGAACGATGTTACCGGATTGAAACTGCTAGGGGACTGGAAGTGGACCAGTCAACGAGAAACAAACGTGAAGATGGACAGTTCTGCACGAATCGAACACCAAGAACACACTAGCACACGGTGTGTTAGGGATAAGTGTTAGCCCAGACGGCTACAGCAAAAACAATCCACAAAAGAAAACCGAAAACAAAAACAAACGACACTAAGTTCAAGCTCCTCACACATGGAGCAAACACACACAAGTCTAAAACGAAAAACAAAACACACTGAGATGGGCAACGAGTACAGCCTACTCGTCTCCGAGGTTATCCAGATCGAAGACGATGTCGTTCATGAAGGCGTCACCACCATCAGCGCCATCATCACCATCCGCTGGGGGAGGTGGAAGTGGGGAGTCCTCCCAGGGAGTCCTCCCAGGGAGTCCTCCAGACTGGCTGCTCGCCCGGTAGCAGCTGGAGTAAATGCTGCTGGACCTCCTGCATGCGCCGTGAACGGCGCCTCTCTCGCTCGATGTGTGCGAGAGTCACCCCCTGCTGGGTTTGGAGCTGGTCCAATCTCTCATCGTAACCCGCCATCCTCTGGTGGTACTCGGCCTGGTGAGCCGCGTACTGCTGCTGGAACTGCATCTGATGGTCGATGATCTGCTGGTTCTGGAGACGCAGCTGCTCGAACTGGGAGGTGAAGTAATCCTGCCCCGGGAAACTGGAACTGCCACCCCCGTACTCGAAGGTGGTGGGGCGGGCGGCAGCAGTGTCATCCACGTCCTCGGGCTGGACCTCCTCATCAGCTGCACCCTCTGGAACCTCCTGCTGGGCCGCCTCTGGAATCTGAGGTTGAGGAAACCCCTCGGTCCACATGACTCCTCGCTCTTCTCGAAGCAGGAGCATCTTGGTGAGCGTAGCCCGGCCAAAGGGAGTGGTCGCTCCCTGCTCTGTGCACCCCTGCAGGGATATCTGGAAGTACTCTGCCAGGCAGGTGATGAGAGGGGTGCAGTGGAGTCTCTTCAGCTCAGAAGCACTCTTCTCGAAGGTCCTCGCCACCACCGAGCCCAAGTGTAGGGGATGATCCCTCTGGCGCATGGACTGAATGAAGTACAGGGATCGCTTGGTGATGGCGCTGGCACTGTCTGATGCTGGGGTGTAAGACTTGGCCAGCAGGTGATGGAGGAGACGGTTTTCGAGCTGCAATGTGGTGGCCTTCGTCTTCCCCGCCTTGAAGGGGAGCTGTCGTGGCCGAGCGAGGCTGAAGTACAGCCTCCCGAAGTCCACCCTGTCGGGCTCGGCGACCTCTGTGATGAAGTTCCTGTCATTGACCAAGTTGAGGCCCAGGGCGTCCTCCAGCTCGTCGTAGCTCATGGAGCGAGGTTCACCCCCGAGTCGGAACTAGACTGCAGCTTCGTCCTTCCAATCGTTTGTGGCTGCGTGCTTGAAGGTGGTGTAGAACTCAAGCACGAGCTCATGGTAAACCAACGCGCGGATGCTGAGCAGGCGGCGCCAGTATTTGTTGTTGACAACGGGGGAGAGGTGCTCGTAGCAGTTGAGCTTCTCCAACTCGCGCTTCGACCAGTAATGGTGCTGCCCAAACTTGCAGGACAGGACGTTCTGAAAACTATCCCGGTGGGACCCCCTTCTCAAATCTTGAACATACTGATGCCGGAGGTTGGGCTTCGACCTGATCCTGCAAAAGAACAGCCCAAAGTGGAACCAAAACAGCAAAGGAAAATGTTAATCACACCCCCACACTTAAGAACAGAAAACAGCCTAACCATGGTTTCATCCATAGTTCGGGGGTCAGAAACTCGATAAATCAAGCATAATCTGAGTGGGGGTGCACATCCATGAAAAAGTAGGCAACTTAAGGTTCACATCCATACCAAATACACCCTCAAAGCACATCATTAAGGGCCCCAACCGACCCCCACAAAATGGTACGAAAACAGGCATTTCATCGAACACCTTGTGTGCACTATTAAGGTAAACATAAAATTGGCACAATTCTTGCACACAAGGGCTCAAACAATCAAGAGGGGCTTTTCCCAACACAATTCAAACACACTCCATGCATTCCCCTCAATCAATTGCACAAAAATCACAAGATTCAATGAGGTTCTCTAAACATGCACCCTAACACCCAATTCTCCACAATTAACATAGTTAAGGGAAAAATCAAACCTGGAGACTCAAGTAGAGGTGTAGGGAATGATGAGGAGAAGGCGATGGAAGCGACGAAAAGTCGAAAAAGTGCCCGGAAGTGCTCGTCGGAGCCTCGCCGGAGGCGAGTCTCGCCGGAAATCGCCTCCGGCGACAAAAACGTCGGCCAAATCTCCTCAAAATGGAGGGATAGGCCGCTTTTGGTGGAGGAAGGGTGGGTTTGTTGTTCGTTTGGTGAAAAGATGATAAAAAATGGCCGAAAAAATCAAAAAGTGGGGTTTTGGCGCGGTTTTCCGGCGAGGGGGAGAGGTTTCCGGCGAGTGTCTCGGCCACACGGCCAGATCCACACGGCCGTGTCGTGGGCAATTTTGCCCGTGTCGGCCGACACGGCCTGGCCGAGGAATTTCACTCGGCCGTGCTGAGTGCTCATTTGGCCGTGCCATATTCTGCGAGAGCAGACACGGCCAGGGAACTCCTTCACACGGCCGTGCGTAAAAATGAGTTGCCCGTGCCGGCCGCGCGGCCAGGCCAGGCCAATCCACACGGCCGTGCCAGTGGCACTTTTGGCCGTATGGAAATTGTCGAGAGCACACACGGCCAATGGAAAGAATCCACACGGCCGTGTAAATTTTAGGCTTGGCCGTGTGAACTGCTGGAGCCCCAAATTCAACCTGTTTTCACTCAAAAACAACATTCGACTCTGGAACAACATCTCAAGACTCAAAAAACACAAAAAATCACAAGAAAAAGGTAAGAAAATGCAAACCTAGGTGGGGTTGCCTCCCCACAAGCGCTTCTTTACCGTCTTTTAGCTGGACGCCAGTCGGTGGATGCTCAGTGAGGTGAAGGAGCAGGTGCCTTCAAGAGCGGATCCACCTCGCTCTTGAGGTACAACTTCAAATGGTGGCCATGCACACGCTGAGTGTGGCCACCAGCATTTGCCAACTCAACTTGGCCATCCGGCAGGATGCAAGCGAGTGAATACTCGGATGGCCAAGGTGGGGGCGGGACCAGCTCATAGTGGTCTCCGGCTTTCTTTCGAGCAGGCTTGGCGGCGAAGGTATAGGAGGCGGATCCTGCAAAATAGGCAACACAGGAGGATACACGACAGACTCGTGCTCCTGGTGAGATACAACATGCAAAGGTGACGAAGCAGGACGAGTATTAGAAATTGAAAACGCTATTCGCTCCTCACCATCCCTCAAAACTAAGGTCCCATCATGCACATCTATGAGGGCCTTGGCGGTGGCCAGGAAAGGCCTTCCCAGTATCAATGGCACATTCACATCCTCCTTTATGTCCAAAATCACAAAATCAACAGGATAATTGAATTTGCCAACCTTAACCAGAAGATCTTCCACTATGCCCCTAGGATGCACTACAGATCAGTCAGCTAATTGAAGGCTCATCCTAGTAGCACGGGGTTCACCTAGGCCTAGTTTCTTAAATAGTTTATATGGCATAACATTAATACTAGCACCTAAATCCGCCAAGGACCTCTCTACATGCAAATTCTCTATAGAGCACGGGATAGTAAAACTACCTGGGTCCTTCTGCTTCTGCGGAAGCTTGTTCTGCAGAATGGCCGAGCACTCCTCGCTGACCTCCACAATGGCCAGCTCGCTCAGCTTCTGCTTCTTTGAGAGAAGATCCTTCAGGAACTTCGCATACTTAGGCATTTGAGACAGTGCCTCTAGGAGAGGCACTTGGACATTCAGCTTCCTAAGCATGGCCATGAAGCTCTCGAACTCTGCCTCCAGCCTGTCTTTGTGCAACCGAGTAGGGAAGGGGAGTTTAGGGATATACTCCTTCACTACTGGTTGCGGTTTAGGTGCAGGCACCTCAACCTCCTTCTCTACTTCTTCATCAGCTGCTGGAGATGTCGAGGCAGGGGCGTCTCTCTCTTGTGCTCGAGCAGGTGGATCAATAGTCATCTTGCCACTCCTGGTCATGATGGCATTGCAGTGCTCATTCGGGTTCTGAGGGTGAGGAATGGTCTGACCGGGCAAGGTACCAGGAGTCCTTTGTGCCACTGCTTGAGCCACACTCCCCAGCAGGGTCTGGATATCCTGCAAGACAGCCTGTGTGTTCCTCTGGCCAGCTTCAAGAGCCAAGAATTTACCCGATGCCTTTTCCATGAACTGCTCGATGGTGCTAAATTTTTGAGCACTAGAACTGGCGAGAGAACCCACCAATTCCCGCAGTTCAGCCATCTGATCATTCTGCACTGGGGCGGCAGGGGCTGCACCTGGCTGCTGGAAATGTCGCGGCTGTGATGGAGCAGCATGCCCCTGCATGGGCTGGTAGAGAGACTGTTGCTGCTGGAATTGCCCTTGTCTGGGCTGATATGGTGGCCTCTGGAAGCCCGGTGGTCCCAGGGGGACTGGTGGTCTGGAATTTGCCCCACCCCAGGAGAAGTTGGGATGCTGGCGCCACCCCTCGTTGTAAGTGTTGTTGTAGGGGTCGTTGCGCCTAACATTGTTGATGAAGTTCACCTGCTCCTGGGGTGTTGTCGATTCCTTCATCGCCTGGCAGTCTTCCACTGTATGATGGGTGCTCTCGCACCACTGGCAGAGCATAGCCTGCTGCTGTCCGATACCTACAATCAAACCAGAACGATCGATAGCTGAAACCAGCTTCGATACCACCTGCACCAAATCAGATGACTGGGTGCCTACAGCATGCACACCCCGTCCTGGTGCTCGTCTCGATCTCCTGGCAGTGCCCCAATCGTACCCATTCTCCGCCATCTCCTCAAAGAGTTGATTCAGCTGTGGTGGTGTTTTGGTCAGCATGTTCCCGCCACAAAACGAATCAATCAGCTGCTTGTCCTCCGGGAAAAGGGTGTGATAGAAGGTTCCCACCTTGAAAGCATTGTTGAAACCATGATTGGGACACCGCAGTAAGAGGCTGTTGTATCTCTCCCAGGCATCCCGGATGGTCTCATCTTCATCCTGGGTGAAGTGGGTAATCTGCTTCTGCAAGTCCGCCATCTTGGACGGAGGATGGTAGCGGGTAAGGAACTTGTCCGCCAGGTTGGCGAACGTGGTGATGGATCCCGGAGGTCGAGTGTCTAGCCACTCCTTGGCCTGCCCCTCCAAGGTGAATGGGAAGTACCTCAGCTGGATGGCATCTGCTAGGACCCCATTGATCTTGATTCCATCGATGAGCTCGTGGAATCGCCTGAGATGTGAACGAGGGCATTCCCCCTCTTTACCACGGAACACCACTGAACCGCGCAGCATGGTGATTACTGAGGTGCTCACCTCAAAATTGTTGGCTGGGACATGAGGATGCTGAATGGGTGACCTCATGTCCGCAGCTCTAGCGGTCCAGTAGGATCCCATGGTCTGCTCCTCGGGATCGATCACAGCATGGCCCTGTGGCTCAGCCATCTCTTCTTCCTCTTCTTCTAACTGCAGCTGTGATAGAGCCTCCTCCGCAGCCAGTCGCGCCTTTAGAGCCCGCTTGAAGTTCCTGCAGGTTCGTTCAAGCTCCTGGTCTAGTGGCAGTAGATCTCCCGACTGGCTACGGGTCATGCACTACCTGCACACAATCAGCAGAAGCAACCAGTGAAGGCACACAGGTGGAAGAGATAAAATGCAGTAAATAAAAAGCTAGAGTAACAAATTCTCACGTTTCCCCAATAACCTAGAGGTTCCCCGGCAACGGCGCCAAAAACTTGACACGCCAAAACACAACACCAATCTGCGACCAAGTGTAATCGCAGACCGGGAATGCAGTAACAGGCAAGTTATATTATCAACCCGGGGTCTAGGTCTACTGCTTACTCAGTGATTCTCTGTTATCTAGCCAACTAAAGTAAGTGATTCTTGTTTAAAAGCAAAAGCAGAAATAAAGCAGGAAATTATTCGGTTTTCTTAAGCAGGTAAGAGTCACTCGGGAATGAGTCCCCCTAGCTCCTTAGTTAGGTTCAATTGCAATTTCCCTGGGTTGATTTATTGTTGATTAGACTGCGAAAGATCCGACAGTAGCTTGGAATCTCTTAAGCTGACCAAGCCCTCTCAGTCTAACCACCCGCCAGACGACTAGTCTTCACCGAGATAGAAAGCTGAAGCAGTAAGAACAGAACTCCACTACTGGAATTGGATTCCAGTACAAAGCAGTAAACTAGCTAACTCTCGTATAGCCAGTCTCCTACTACCGAATGATGAGACTCTAGCAACCTAATCAGATTCTATCTATCTCAGATTGCAGCAGGAATCAGGAAAAGTTTATCAGACTTCAATTGACTCAATAAACATGCATCATTCGATTAAA